TTTCTGATCTAAAGCTCTGTTGGATCCCGGTAGAGGTAGTAAATTGTAGCGATGAGGAGCATCTAGTTCGAATGTACTCAAGCCGTAGGTGGACGTGTAAAATGAAAAGTCGGCAGCCGTGGGGACGATGACGCTGTTGGCCAAGTGTTCTGTAAGATTTGAGCTTCTTACTGGTACACTGGCTGTTGCAGATGTGCCTTGTACTCTGAGTGGGCTATTTGACCTTGCGGAAACGGAACCATTGTTTGTTTAGACCTTTTCGTACTTCCTAACAATGATTCGTAGGTCGCACTTTCGTTTTCGTAGTGTTGAAGCAGTGTCGAGGCAGTCATGTGCTTTCTGAGTAGTAAATGTGGCAAAGCCATCTGCCAGCGTATCAAGCAGATCAGAACAAGTGGTTACCTCCTCGAAACTGAGTTTAACATACTCAATTTAGCTTGAATTGGTTATTTGCCTCGTTACATCTTACTCAAGCTCCTCGAAAGTACTGTAGCGGCGTATCCATTGAACAAGAAGCTGTTGTAAGGTTGGCTCCGTTGAAGCCAATAAAAAAGTAATATAAAGAGTAGACAAGTTGTATTAAGATTTTACGAGCTCGGATGGCAGCAATCGCAAGTTTTTCCTTAATGGAGTTTTTTTGAGCTTTCTCAGCATTTTTACAAAAGCTACGTTGAATTTTTTGTTGATGTCAACCAGCCAGAGGGTTAACCCGGTGGTTAATTAAATAAAGTGAGCTACAGCTCACGCAGTTTTGAGCACTTTGAATTAAGGTTAAGGAATAAGCGGTGAAACTCTTAAGTTTTTTAAGGGTTCAACTTGAGTTCACTTTAAGAGTTTAAATGAGTGAAAATATTTTGAGACGTTCAACATTTTCTTAAAACTTTTTGTAGATATGGCTAGTAAAACCCTTTTTTGTTATGGGTTAAAGAAAACGTTTCGGTAAAAATGGGCTTTAAAAAATTAGAAGCAGAAATTTTTTGGTTTAGAAAATTTTTGCTATCGGGTTTTGGCTAACTGTTTTTTTTTTGCATAAGTGGGAACCTTTTTTTTGTGTGTTTAGGTACTACTTTAGTACCCCGAGGATTAAAATTAAACTGATCAAATGAACATTAACATTTCATGTCGGAGGTTGCAGATTCCTTAACTTTTTGCTAATAAAGTCTTCACAAAAGAGTTTAGCACAATTGTTGATTCTTTAAGCACAAGGTGGGTTTTGGCTGACGAGCACAAACACAACAAACTTTTTTTTTGGTTATGTGCTAGCTTTTTACCCTTAGGATTCACTAGTTTACAAAAACTTACGAGAGTCTAGCAGAGTTTAGTACGTGGAAACAAATATTTCTGTCGAAGGTTGTAGCATGAAAATGATGGGCGTTAGACTTTCGCAGAAATGGGCTTTGTCTCTGAGATTTGATTTTTTGAATGACAGTCTGACTATAGGGTTGAAAAGTTTTTAAAAAATTGGATCTCACTTGAGTATCTTGGACTTGAGATGTTTGAGATGAACTCTTTCGATATGTATGTAATCCCTTGTCCTGTTGGAGGTAAGCCCTTGTCCTGTATGTAGATCGTTGTATGTAGGCCGTTATATGTAGGCCGTTGTTTATAGGCCCTGGGATGTAGGCCCGTGTATTGTTGGAGGTAGGCCCTTTTCCTATTGGAGAGAGAAAACCCCTTGTCCCGTATGTAAGCCCTTGTCCTGTTGATTGTAGGAGGCCTTGAAGGTGGTCGCCAGATATTCAAGACAAGTTGATGATCATGTCTTAAAGGTCTCTTCGTTCACGGAAGTCACCCGCATTGGCAAAACTAAGATTGCAATCGGTTGTCGACAGTAAAATCTACAGTTCAGCAAACTAGTTTAATTTTATGCACTAAATAATGGATTTTTTTGACTATCAAATCGATTACAATCGATTGCAATTTTTACTTATTTTAATCGATTCGATAGTTACCAAAAGCCATTTTTAAGTGCATTTTTTGGTACAGATTATATACAGATTTTATACAGATTTTCTACAGATTAAATACACGTTATCTACAGATTATATACCCTACAAAATCCATTTTAATTTCGTTTCAATTTTTATAGAAAAAATTTCAAAAAAAACTTTTGTTACGTGTCTTGTTTTAATGAAAATAACCAAAATTGATAAAAAACAAAATAAAACCGTCTAAATAAAACCAAAACTGATGGTTTTTTGCTAAAAGGAGGAAACGGTAGAGTTTCAATTTTTCCACTAAATTTTGATTGTTTGTGAGTTGGTAATTGTTGTGGGGGGATAAAATCGAAAAAAACTATCAAATTACAAAAAAATCGAAAAAAAATTTGATTATTATTGCTTAATTTAACCGATTCGATAATGACCAAATTCCATTTTTAAATGTTTTTTATGGTACAGATTTTGTACAGATTTTATGCAGGTTATATACTCTAAAAAATCCTTTGTAATTTCGTTTCAATTTTTGCAGAAAAAAATTCGATTTGAAAAGTTTTTTTTTGTTACGTGTCTTGTTTTGTTAAAACCCTCTAAATAAGATTACAACTGATAATTTTTTTTCGGATAAAAGGAAAATATGGGCAACTTTTTGATTTTTCATTCAATTTTGATTGTCTGTGAGTTGGTGTTTGTTGTGGGGGGAGACAAAATTGAACAAAACTGGAAAAAACGTGTTTTTTGTCGAAAAATGGAAAACCCCAGTATCTTCGTTTTTTCGAGTCGAAATAGGTTCCCTGAGACGCGCCATTTGTTTTAAATTGCACTTTACAACGTAGTGATCTCGTTCAGCCTCGATTGTGAATCATGTTTTTCGGCCACAGATAAGATTTTTTTTCTTCGAAAGTTGCAAATTCGGATCCCCCCAGTTCAGCAGAATTGAAATCTGATGATTTTGAGTCTGCTTTTTTGTTGTTTGTTGATATGATTCACAATGGTAGCTGAACAAGACCGCATTATATGTATGCTTTACGGTTGAAAATGGTGAAAACAAGAATAAAAGGAACGTTGAAGCAATTTAATAATCAATTTTTACGTGGAACTTCAAAAATCGACATCGAAATTTTAATTATTTTTGTTTGCAAAACGTTAGAAATTTCTAGCCTTATTTTGGGTTTTTGTTTATCTTTTCTGTCTATTCGTTTCAATCTGAAGTCGAATTCATTTAGTGATTTAATGGGGTAAATTTTATTTAAATCACAAAATTCGTTTAAAAGACAATATGGCATAAAATCTATTAAAACTGTTCTTTTTGTAAAAATTTTGTCCATAATCAAACTTATTTCCTGTAAAACCAATATTTTTTAAATGAAATTAATGTTTATGGATTCAAAATGATGCTTTACAATGATGATTTTTTGTTGCATGTATTTGAGCTCAAAAATTGATTTTCAGCGACCTTTTGCCCTATCTAATACGTTGGTTTTTGCCCAATAACTGATTTACATAGAAAGTTATTAAAAATTTTTTTTGTTCATTTTTGAGCTCAAAATCTGATTTATACTGACTTTTTTTTTTCATTTATTTTACATATTTTGCCCAAAATCTTGTTTATATTGATAATTTTTATGATTTTATTGCATATTTTTGTGACCGAATTTTGTTTATATCGATGATTTTCTACAGTTTGTGTTGTTTAATTTGAATTCAATTTTTTTTTTGAGTCTTCAAACAGCATGCTACTAAAAGTAAAAAAAAATCAATTTTTTTGAACAATATAATCAACTTTTGAGACAAAACAATCGATTTTTTGGGTCCTTAGAAAATGCATTACAATTGATTATAATCGATTTTATACAGATTCTATACAGATTCTGTACAGATTTTATACCGCAAACAAAACCATTTTCTAGACTACAAAATTGGTTTTTTTTGGTTCTTAGAAAATGCATTACAATCGATTATAATCGATTTTATACAGATTCATTACAGATTCTGTACAGATTTTATACCTAGAAAAAATCCATTTTCTAGGCTATAAAATCGATTTTTTCTGAACTGTACAAAATCCTTATATTATCTATTTTAGTGTCTAATTGGGTTACATACAATCGATTTTTAACTAGTAGAAAATCTGTATAAAAATCGATTATATTCGATTGCAATCTTATTTTTGCCAATGCGGGAAAACTTATTACTAATTAGTTCGCAACAAATCATGCCATTATTAAATGATTTTACCGCATTTTGAATTAGTGTGAGACAAAATCATGTCATGAATACTATTCGAATCGGCATTTAAAAACTGTGATTATGATCGATTCGTAAACAAATTTATTGTTATTGTTTTATTTAGAGCGCTTTTTCAATAACTTATTAAAAACGCGCTCTACCTAGAGCTTTTCATAGTCGCGCTGGGCGAATATTAAAATTTTTCTCTTGTGAGTGCTCGATTTTTTTAATTGCCCCAAGTGCGTCGTTAGTTTCAACCGCACTAGTCGTGCATGCCAACTGCATTAGTTTCTCACAGTATTGTCCGTCGGAAAGTGGCGAATTTTTGCCTCGTCATTTCCTCTAGTCGCGTCTTTGGGGCGGTTTTTCGATTCGGGCCGGTCATAGGCTTTTTTCCCAATAATGCTGGTCGCAATCGGTTCCAAAGTCGCGCCATTCTGGAAATAGACAATTTTGGTTACGCCGATAATGAAGTTTCACTTAGTTGCGGCGTTTTCTGATGTCACCCAGGTAAGAACCAATTTTTAGTCGCAGACCTCGACCCGGGAGGTTAACATATTTTTAGCGCCAGTTAATCTCAAGTTTAATTCAATTTGAAAAACCATAGTAATTTTTTAGCTACTTTTTGTTTTTCTCGGTACACTTATTTGCCTTCTCTCTTGGAAAATGAATCCGAAAGCAGTTTTTTGTTTTAGAAAAACTTATCAAGACAAAAACTCTCATTAACAGTTACAAACAATTCGTAATTATTGAATAATTATTACAGCCAAGTTTCATAACTACAACAGTTTTTTAAATTTTCAGACAACAATAATGAAAACAAAGTTCGAGATTTTGATTGTTTTTAATTATGTGCTCCCTTTTTGATAGAAAAGCAAGAAATAGTAACGAAACAAATGAATGTTGAAGAAACCAAAGCAAAATTGAGAAACAACAAGACAGTTTGTGGAACACTCAGAAGTATCAGTTGTTGTTTTACAGCCTCGAGAGAGCCTTCTTTGTTCACAAGACTGGCATCCGGTGTCGGTTCTGATTGATTTCCCAGGACGTTAGGCTCATCCTTCTCATGATAATCTTCTAAGCTTCGCTCTTCTGACTGCGGGATTGGTATTGGTTTGCTGATGTTTTGACCGTTTACTAAAAATACGAAATATATAGCCACCATAAGTTTCAATTAACTCAAGGAAGTAAAAGGACAGATATAGTTTTCAGGAATTTTTAAAAAAGGACAACTTTGGTTGAACAAAAAACTTGAGACACTGAATCAAGAGAACATCCTTCTACTCCGATATTTTTATTGCTTTTGTATTAGAGAGCCCAGTTTGACTGCTCTTTGTTAATTAATTTGAAAAGAGTTGATAAAGATATTCAAAATCAAACAGCCAAAAAAAGTTGAACATGAACAAGTTGTCCATATTTTCAAAAAAATTGAGAAACCACATGGCCAAAAAAAAAACTCATTCTGCTCACTGACACCTCATCATGCCAAAACAAGTTTATCTGTCAACGAAGTTTCATGGTAAGTTGTATGATCAAAGATGATTCCGTAAAATTATAATATATATTCATTAAACAGAGGGTAAAAGTCTCAATGAGCTCAAGTGAACAGAAAAGTAGTGATTTCTTTCTGAACACTTTTCAAGTTTTGAGACAAAAATCTGACAAATCACCTTCATTTTTTTTTGATAATCTCTTGATAAAAATAAACCTAAAAAAAACTGGATGAAGCTATAAATCATGTTTTTTCGTGATATTTTTTTTTAGAATTTTCGATTTCACAGAAAAGTTGATGACATTAAAGCCCTTCAGTTTCACAAACATTTTATTTTTAATGAATCGAGAAAGCAATCCAATGTTTGAGAAAACTGAATCAATGTATTTTTTTTTCCGCTGGAAACACTGAACATAAGCAACAGACAATTTGAAAAGAGTAAATGAACGCCAAAAATCTCGCAATAAATGACTTGCTTTTTGAACAAACATCAACTTTCGAATTTCAAACAAAAAATATATGGCCCTTAGTCTCTTTTAAATTAATGAAGACTCTATGATTGGCATCGTTTTGATTAAAACTAACGCAATTAGAGAAAACTAGAGTAATATTAAAAATTCTCATTCCACCGGGAAATCTAAAAATTAAAATTCAATTTCGAAACTAAAAATCAACCGCATCCTTTTACCATTTAGCATTTCGCAAACGGAAAGTGCATTTTGCCTACCTTCTAGCAAATGAAATTGAATTGAACTCTGCATATATATAAGAAATGTTATATGCAGTTGAAGTTAAACTCTAGTTTAATTTCTCTAGTTATATAAGCAGTTGTTATATAAGCAATTAGAACTCTAGTTATATATGCTGTTGAAATTAAAATTGCATATATAACTAAGCGCATTTATATGAGGGATAGAAATTACAAGATGGACTGCCATGATTATTACGCTCACTTCGTTTCTTGACACTTATCAGTCTGAGCATTGCAATTAAGATACAATGCTGACTTGACTTATCCGAAAACAAAAACAAACAAGACTGCTCGTATCAGGGCGAAGCCCTGAATGTTTCGACTGCCTTTTAAGGTTTATGAAGCAGCAGTAATAACAATTTAAAAATTAAATGAAATACAAAAAATGAAAACTTTTTTTTTCTAAAATTTGAAATTTTTTTTATGAAAATCATCACCCCACACGCCATATAAAGTACAAAAAAATAGATTTCGTTCCTTGTAACAAATCAATTATGACCAACAAGCTTCGTTCAACCAATTTGGAACGATTTATAAGACGGATTAAACCTCAGCTTACGCGTTAATAGCGCGAATTATATCGCGCGTTAATTGCCCCAAATTGGTCAAAATGGCCAAAATGGCAATCTTTAAACCCTCATAACTTTACGAAAAATGATCACAGGTGAAATATCTTTTCAAATTTAAGCTCAGGACAACAAAACCTTTTGAATGATATTTAAAAAATGCCGTCAAAAATGGCTAGTTAAAAAGTCGAAATTTGTCTGAAGAAAAAAAAACCCACCCCGAGCACAAATATTCCGTTACTTTCGTATCGAAAGTCGGAACAATAAAAATTTAAATTTAAAATGCCTTGATTTTAGGTGCAAAGAATGAAGACTTACCAGACTTAATACAAAAGTTCGGGACTAAACTTTACCCCAAAACAGATATATTTTGAACTTTTTTGTGAATCAAAAATTACGTAGTCACTATCGAGTCAAATAATGACGAAATTGTTTCAACGTGAGCCTCTTACATCTCACAACATTTTAAAAAGATATTTGTGAAAACTTTTTAAAAATTCTTTTAAGCAAAAAATTTGGGTTTTATTTAATGAAAACAACATTTTTCGGCTAACAAGAAAAGTTTGCATTTTTGGAGAATGTGCATTCCTTGAACCCTTTTGAGCTGTATAAGAGGCTTCACTTGGTATAATTTTCCTATCAAATATTTTGTTATTTTAGGCGTCATTAACTAAAAAAAGCTAAGGTGACTATTTTTTTTGAGCTACAAATGTGGTTCTGAATTTGGTAACATGAATTGCACTATGATAACTCTGCGGAAAACCTATTTATCTTCCTGTTCACTTTTTGTTTAATCGTCACCCAAATTGAGAAAAACGCGTTTAAAATTTCCAATTTTGTTCGTTTCGTCTGGATAATTATAACAGCGCTGCGCTTTTTTTTCAAAAAAACTTCTCTTCAATATTATAACTGTATGTCCTTAAACTTTTTTGAAGTTAGGTAATTTTTTTGAAGTTAGGTAATTTTTTTGAAGTTAGGTAATGCATCAAACAAGGATAACCTGTTGCTGTGCAAGCAACACAGATTAGTTCAACTACCAATTGTTGAGGACAAGAATAGTGGAATCCCTCATATCCGAGACGAAGGACCGAATTGGCGAAAACAAAAATCAGCCAATCAGATTTCAGTAATTCAAAATTTGGAAAGAAAGCGAGAAAATCTCAAAGAAAGTAAATATTTCCAGAGACTTAATATTAATATTGACCAAAAATAAAAACGCCCGAAACAAGCAAAACTTTCAAATTGTTACTCACCACCGTCTAGTTTGAGCAAATTCTGTATTTCAAGGGTTTTGTTATAAAAGAAGCAAAAGATTGCTTCGTTTAATTCATTTTAGCTGTTTTTGTTTTCGGTCCTTCGCCCATCCATGAGTTTTTCTCCCATTGGGTACTTCGTCCATAAGAATTGCCTCAGAAGAGAAAATCAAAAGCTTTTTTAAAGTTTTTATCAGTAACGCACATTAGCAAACTATTCAAAAAGTCAAAAACTGCAAAAGTAGCGCAAATAACGACTGAAGAAATAAATTTAAAATTAGCTTATTAACAGAATTGAGAATTCAGTGTGATTCGTAATTTTCGGGTATATTAGTGTCATTTAGTAGCCGAACGAAACTGAAAAAACTTTGTTGAACGCTTTTTGGGATGGTTTTTTCCCACTTCATAGAGTAGTTGGAGCAACAAATAAACGCTTACGTGAGCCTTATTTCATGACCACGTAAATGCCCGAGGCTTTACAAACTCATGTCTGCATGGCAAAAGCGTTCATGACTCAGATATTTTAAAATATTTTGCTCTTCTAAAAGGATAAAACTTCTCTGTGAAAGACTTATTCAACGTTTATTTATATGCAAATCTTGACCCTAGTCTGGGGCGGATTTAGGGGGAGGGCGGATGCCCCCCTCAGGGATTCGACCCCCTGCCGACCCAAAGGAACCCCCCCCTTTATACTATTTTCCAATATCCATTTTTGGTGAGGGACCCTAAATATTTTCTAAAGGCGCCTGTATACTCATTTTGAGGGGGAGCGCGCGCCAAAAAAAACGCATTTTTTGGTCAAATTTTCCAAAAAGTGCCTAAATACGCCTTTTTTGGCCTGTTTTTTTTTTCAAAATTTTGCCTGCGGCGTAGAAAATTTGGCCAAAACAGGAGCAAAACAGTGCTTTGGGAGAGCTCGAAAAGTCAATTTGGTCGACCTAAAAAAAGTCGACAAAAATTTCGAATTTTTTTTTGAAAATTGACCCCCCCTCGAGAAAATCCTAGATCTGACCCTGAATCTAGTTATCATTTTCTCCCTGTTGGACTAAAAGGGTATAGTTGAAAAAACCCCATGAACTTAAATGAATTTTCTCATTTTCAAGAAGTCTGTTGAAACGGGTCTAGGGCAAACTCCGATATGTCAAACATCCGAACTTATATAAAAAGTTATGTTATAATATGACGTTAGAACTTCACAAACAGGACAGTTTAATTATCCAATTCCAATTAAGCCGACTTTCGGTTTAGGGCCGTCGGTGATCTCTATGCGCGCATCGTCTTTTCGCGGTGACAACCGGCTCTAACGTTCCTATAGAGTCCTACTCTCTGTTAGCGAACTAGCAACACGTTGGCACGACCGCGGCGATCCGCCTTCATTCCACCACTAAAACAATTTTTAAGCGAACAGAAGAAATCGGACCTTTGCCATACTCTTTGATAAGTTCGAATGTTTGCCCTAGAAAAGCAGTTTTTGGATGTTTGTAACACTTTTTGGTTTTCGGATATTTGACATATCGGATGTTTACAAGGTACCCCTGTTGAAACGTACTGAAATGCAACACTTACTGTCTCTATATGGGATTTTCTCGTATACCGCACACAGATATTGTGCTTGTTCCGATGTACAAACACCTCGCACATAACTTTTTCCGTCCGTTCTATCTTTTGAATTAACCGTCTTCAAACATCCAAAGTGCTGATTCTTTGATGATCTGCCTGCAGGCTCGTTTTTACCCCAAAAAGAGCTAAAAACTACATTTAAAACCACAGAGGTGTATGTAATTTCTGACGTCCATCTTCGGAAGCCAAGATGGATCTCTTTTATCGGGCCAAACATTGCTTCTGCTGCCAATTCGTATAGAAGATCAAGTTCTCGTCTGTTGAACCCGACCGCAAGGTCAAACCCTGCTCCGAAATACTTGCACTGTTGTCTGGCTCTTTCGAACGTGAATTTCGAGAAAACCATGTAATACTCGGCCAGCAAAGTCTCGGTTATTTTTTCCTGCCTCATTACCATTCGCACTTCTAGAAATATTTACAGAAACAAACTAGTTAGCTTGAATAAGGCGTGCAGCACAAAAACATTCAAACACGAACTACTGGGTACTTTCAAAACGAAATACCGGTACCCGATTTTTGTTGCTACTTTTGAAACAGAGACGAAACGAGACGAGACAATGTCGGGTTGCAGCTGAATTTCCGCAATTAAGAAGCAGATTTATCTCAAGAGCACGGGCAAAACATACTTTATTCTGTTCCAGCCTCCCGATTTTGGTGGAAGCGCCAAAAGCTTACGTTTTTTGATCGAAGTGGTAAAAATCTTAGAAAGAGAAAGTCAAAACACAAGTCGGACACCTGGACACGGCTAAAATCTCTTTCTATTCATTTCCTTTTGGCATTTTCCCCGACATTTTTTCAATCACCCCGTTCACTTATACTCATCCTTTAACTGTGATGAAAAACCATCCAATACATGCTAGCTTTTCCAAAAGCTTTTTATTTGCTTATAGTTTTATCGTGTTTTTTTATAACACAGTAATTTTGACTGAATAAACCATATGACGATACAACTTACTTTTGAGATCTAGATTCGCATTGGCATCGACGTACGTATAGTTTGCACAAATGAATCGTTTTTCACCCTGTTTGCAGTCGTTTCTGCCCTTCAGTTTGACTGTCATGCAACCATACTTTTCATCATTCCTCAACGAAGGCTGACCCCGTTCCCAGTTCTCGTAGTGGTATTTTTCATATTCTAGAATATTGTTCTTAGTGCTAGTAATCGTCATGTCATAAGCAGACGCTAGAAATGAGTAAGCGGTTTTTCTAATTCGCTGGAACCCTATGTGAATCGGGTTTTCGCTCTGCTTTATATGGTCAAGGCTAAAGTACATATCAATTTCCTCATTTGTAAAAGCCATAGCCAAGGTTGGTGGGTTTTTGGGAGATATCAGCTTTTTAGCCTCGGGAATCGACATAAGTTTGGTTCTGCAGTAGTCTGCAGCAGCTGTCCAGTTGTGCTTGGACTTTAAGTTTGGAATGAAGTAGGTAGCCTTTACAGAGTCGTCCAGCTTACTGTACCACTCAAACGCTTCACTAAACCCTGCAAAACAACACTCACAAATACTGAGAAAATTAAAAAAAAAACTCTTTAAGACCTTTCCGATACGAAAAACCAAGCGACCAAAGCAACCGACAGAAAAAGTTTAAGGGTTCTTATATAGGTGTGTGTGTGT